TCTTTGACCCAACAAAAATATTTTGGCATCACAATCATCAAGTTATACCCAATTTTTATCGCTAATAAAAAAACGTCATACTTGGTTTTTGTTTTGAATCATTAAATAATAATAATGCCATAAAATAATCAGAATGTTGTATAACTTCAATTAAAATCAGGTGTATCACGCGAACTTAACATCATCAGCTACAATATTTTATCATAAATACGCTGATTAATAAATGAGGTGCGAATATTAATTTTTTGACATTTAATCTTTTCGGTTCGACGTGGCTGGTTTGGATTATACGTTTTATAGTGAACATTAATTTTTTTCACTTTTGATTGGTTCATTCATTTTTTCCTTTTATTCGCATTTGGTAGAATATTTTTAAAAAAATTTAGATTTTCTCAATTCAACAAACCCATTTGAAATAATTACAATTATTTTTAGTTTAAAGTGAAATTTCATTATTGAAACATGGCTGCGATTGCTGTAGAAAAATTACGATGGACGGAAAAAGCGCTTCATGTGCCAAGTTTTTCTGAAATGACAAGCGGTAAGTTGTTTGTACATTTGTTTGTACGTTTGTCTCAATCGTTTATAATTTCTATGGCAACAGCGCTCTCAACTGGTTTAAACGAAAACTTTACCGAAGTATCAATCAACGAAGTGGAATGTCCGGATTTAACTGCGGCTCCATTTAATTTACCAGCATGCGGTTTGTCTGGTAGTCCGACGATCATTGATGCCGGCGGTCCACCGTATTTGTTACCACTTGTTGATCGCACAAAAATCTATGACTTGGCTGATATTGCACGAAAAGCACTACCAAATGTTGAAAGTGTTTATGTATGTGGTGCCGGTGCAGGGCCACATCCATTGATCAATTCCAATTGTGAGGTAGCTGAATTATTTGATAAAGTTGTTATGTTATGCGAAAGAGATTCCGTATGATTTTCAAATTGCAGGGTATTTTCAATTTAAAAGTGAACAGCGATGGGACCATTGTGAATGGAACTCGCATCGCCCGTGTTACACCCGGTGAGGAATTGTGTGAAACCATCAAAGTTCCACATCTTGAAACTCGATTTGCACTTTTGGCAAATTTCTATCTGTGTGAAGGTCAAAGCGGAAAGGTATTGGTAAAAAACGAGGTTGAAATACTTAAATTTCATAATGTGAATGCAATATTCCGTGTTTCTAGGTGCTTCATGTAAAATGCAAAAAACGTGTGGGCACCGAAGATTTCATCACTGTATGTCGAAAGGCGGTTAAAGCGGCATTTGGTGATAAACACGTTGGTAAGTCATACTATCCCATACATCTGTGCCCGTTTCTTAATTTCATATTTGAAAAAAAAAAACTAGGTGTTGGTGGTGTTTTTCTTCTGAAAAATGGCAATGCCCATCAGCATGTGATGCGTGATTTCTCCAAAGTACCATTATTGAACGATGACGATCTAAATAACTGGCTGAAATTTTATGACATACCCGGAACTTTGGTGGCGGTGGGAACATTTCTGTCGGACGACATGGATTTGGATTTAAGAGTACAACATTTTCACAGTTTGTCGGTGGACAATAAATGGGGCGGACATTATCATTACGATACAACACCGAATACTATTGAATATGAAGCTTATTTCAATGTTGGTGAACGCATTATTCGTATGGATCAACCGGTTGATACGCATAACTTCGGAAGAGATTAGATACATTTTCATTCAATTTTTTTTTTAAATTTGTCAAAAAAGCAATATTAGATGAGACTCCAATCAAATTATAAACAAATCTTGAAGTACAAATATGATACAATTCTCATAATCTTGTTATCTTTTGCATTTGGATAAATCACAAATAAATGAATAAATAACAATTTTGCTATCTACCACCGGTGTGAATAGATAAAACGTCTATCATAAAATGTTGAATTCATACCATTTACTCGCACTTATTGTACAAAATCTTATGTTCTTCTTTTGACCTTGAAAATTGTAAATAGCACTTGTGAATTCAGTGTTAATGAAGAAAATTCATTCGTCCATTCGCTATTATCCCAGAGCTAATTTACACTACTTTGAAGTTTTTGTATCAAATTAAATACGGCGATTTGTTTTTTATATCGACATTTTTCGATTAGTGATTCACTTGTCGATGAATGCGTGACCAAATGTATGGAATAATTGTTCAATGGAATGGTATCAAATCATTTCGATGACGGAATCAGATATTTTTATCGAACCCACACAATTCTTCTCAATCTCTATGAAAAACACACTTTCTTAACAATCTTTCGATTTTGGATGATAAACCTCGCATTTTTTTCATTGCGAAATGTAAAAACCATCTAGAAAATAAAACAAGGCGAGAGAAATGCTTTCAAGAAGAAAAAAATCGATTTGACGTGATTCAATTTTTTTTACATTCTCCAATTCATCATTCATTCATTGAAAAATGTCGAAACTGATTACTGCAATAATACTGTATATTTTGGAAATATATTTTAAAATAATTGAATAACATTTAATTTTATAACGAATAATATTGTCGTGAAAAAAAAAAATAAAAAAAAAAGAAAAAAAAATATTCCTTGCGAGCAAGGTAGGCCCCGACGAGATTCGAACTCATGATCTCCTGTTTACTAGACAGGCGCTTTAACCAACTAAGCCACGGCGCCACATTTACTTCCTCCATCCATTCCGTATATGAGCGTGTATTACCTCACATACACACCAAAGCACACTGACCACGTGGACGTAAATCAGATTTAGCACTGATTCATTTGGAATGCACTTACTTTCAAATGGAAATAACCAATAAAAATGCCAGAAACACCATTTATGCGAATGTCATGTCAACAAAAAAAAATCGAAAACATTTTTCTATTGCGTTTTATATCGTTCGAAATATTTTGAATGGTTTTCTTGTTGTCTCGAAATGGTCGCTCTTTGTACATTGTGTATGTGTATAAAAATAGATCCATGTAGACGACAGCATTATACCACAGGCATTATTGATTTGTTACAATTGTTTTTGAAAACTCACTAGAAATGTAAAACACATAGTGTCCAAACCAAATAAATTCTTAAGTTGAAGTTGCAAATATAATTTGCATAGAATGTTGACAATTTAATGTCGGTTTTTGTACGCTGAATAATATTCGTGTTCACATTGAAGTGAGATGATAAATAAAAAATATGCCTCCTGCCAGGATCGAACTAGCGGCCTCTGGTTTTCATGTTTGTCTTTTCAATACAAGACCAGCGCTCTGCCACTGAGCTAAGGAGGCTTACAAATTTATTCAGTCACACAGTCTCATTAGGAGCAAATTCATTTCAAATGGATTAATTTTGATAAAAACAATGTGTGATGGTTTATAGTAATTGTCGGCAAGTTGTACTTAAAGTTAGCGAAAAACTTCATAATCACCGTTACAAAAACATGCAAAAATAAATGGTAAATTGATCGCACTTGATATCGGAAAAACGATTGATTCTGAAATAAAAATGAGAAGAACGCAACGTTTGCAAGGTGGTATTGATCGTCGGAATCGGATGAGCGAATCAATCAATGCAAATAAAAAGTTTGTTTACTTGGAACGAAATAAACAAACACAACCGAATGTAGATGAAGTTATTTTTAAATGTTTAAATGTATTTTTCTCACCATGTTGAAAAAAAACTTGAGATTAATTATATGATATTTTGCACTGGCACTTAGTTAGTATCGGTACCAAGCCTTAAATTTTTTTCTTCACTTTATGCGCAGAAAATGTTAAAATATATCATATAGCGTAATTGTGGCATTAATTCAAAGCATCAATTTTAATTTTGTATAAAAACGCATCTGTGATTGCTTCATTTCACAGAAGAAAAGAAGATTTGCATCATCCGCCGTTTCATTCCATCAATTCATTCAAAAATATACGAATCACTTAACATAAATTACACGTGAGATAATTCAATAGAAACATAAGCATTCGAACATCAAGAAGCCTCCTTAGCTCAGTGGCAGAGCGCTGGTCTTGTATTGAAAGAACAAACATGAAAACCAGAGGCCGCTAGTTCGATCCTGGCAGGAGGCATATTTTTTTTTATTCCTTTCAATCTCTGTGACAATTTTTTATGTATAGATGTGTTTCAAATACACTCTGAAAGTATTTTATGCTTTTATTTAAAAAAAACTTAATTCCATTTTATTTATTCACTGGTATTCAAATTGGTTCAAAAGACATTAAGATTGATGCAGGCTCATGAAATAACAGATGCAATTCAGAAAGAAAGTAATCGAAAATGGAATTGAAACAAAATCAATACATTTACAATAGTGATGAAGATAAATTTCACTGTCTAAATTCAAAAAAAATCTAAATATTCTAAAGTCTTTGTGATAAAATACCATGCGTATTAGATTCAGATGATTTGCTCCAGTTTTGTTTGTTTAATCTCATTTTAAAAAAAAGTTTGTTTGTTTATATCAATCTGCTTCAAGTGTGTATTTTTTGTTTGATTTAGAGAAGAATTGAAATCGATAATTAAAACAATCATGTTTTAAGCTTCAATTCATATTTGTGAAGATGAGATATTCTCATCTAATAATAAGAATATACTTTAAGATCAATTGAAAAGAATGTAGAATGTTTGGTCATTTTTCAGAAAAGAATACAGAAAAAATGAAGTCATTGTCATCCCAATAGAAATTCTATAGAAAGTAGGTCTTCAATAAAAGTCTTTTGATGGTTGGATTTGGCTATTTTAAAAATTAAAAATTTAATAAAAACTCAATTATTAATTATTTCTAGGCGTCCAATTTTGATCGATATTTCACTTATTTAAAATAGACAAACAAATTGAGGGGTTTGGAGGAAAAATGTTACGTAAAAAAGTTTCGCGGAAAAATGTTCGGGAGCTAAATGATATAATTTGGCAAAGCTAATTGGTACCAAATAGCCTAACTAATTGATACCAAATAGCTTTAGTTGAGGTATTTGGTATCATTTAGAAGAGCTATTTGATACCAATTAGCTTTGCCAAATGATATCATTTAGCTCCCGAACATTTTTCCACGGAACTTTTCTACGTAACATTTTTCCTCGGAACCCCTCAATTGTAGCTAATTTTTTTATAACGTAAACCAAAGAAATTTAAGAAATGCAGAACTAATTAGAGTTAGAACATTTACATCGGAATATGCACATAACCAATCATTTTACGTAGCTTGTAGGAATTTTAATTGCATAAGAGAAAAGTTTTTAGAATCAGCATCGAAACATATTTTTAGAAGTAATTTGTTGAACGGTGAAAACTGTACTTTTTATAAAAATTGTATTGAAAAATTAGAAATTAAAACAATGAACACAATCGATATCTGCTGCTCCGAAATCGACAAGGCTGGTAGCTGGATATTCTGGTGAATGGTATTGTACAAAATTTTGTGATAAATTCAGTCTGTGATCAGACGGTGAATAAATAATAAATTTTTTAATTGGCAGTCATTCCCTGTGTTTTTAGAATAATTATAGTAAAATGAAATTGATTCATAAAAGAGGATTGATAAAAAAAAAACGGATTGATTTTGAATAAATTTTATTTTGGTCTATTTTTCTGTTTAAATGAACTCGCACACTGTGTGTGTGTTTAGTACATAAATATGTTTGTTTTTGTTAATATGTATAATTAATTTTTGGGTTATTTATTTCAAATACAAACAATAAGTGACAAGAAACGGAAACAAAAATAAAATGTTATAAATGTTTCATCATTTTTTTTGTTGCTAAATGTTGTATTGTGGCTTTGTCTTGAATAAGCTTGAATGAAATAAATTGTCGAGCTGTTCGGGTCTGTTCTGTTCATTTTTTTCATCGTAATTTGTTCATTTCATAATAATTTTTACAATTAAATATTTTATCATTAAATACAAAAGGAACTCTATGTTTTATGCTTCATTTGTTTTTTTTTTATTCATTCATTAATTATTAGTTTTAGTTTTACTTATGTAATGACTGTGTTATGTATGTGTGTTTAAATTTCTTCGAGAAAAATAAAGTTGATTTTGTTGATTATTTGATAGTAAATTCAAATCACAATTAAATTGAAAATGAGAAGACGATGTTGAAAGATCAATGGTTTTTTTTGCAAAAAAAAAATATATCTATATATATATGTATAATTAACTATATATTCATAATGTTCATGTCTGAAAAGTTTGACTCAACAACAAAACAAAACAAAAAAGGAATTGATTCGCACCGCACCGGTGACGAATATCAATAAAATGAAATTTGTTCTAATAAAAATATACCTTTCTATCTCTAGCAAAAAAGTAGTTTAAATAGGGTACTTTAATCTATTTCATTAAATTTGAATCGAGAATTTTGAACAAGCGTAGCGATTTTTCGGTTTCGAAAACCAACGAAAATAACATGATTTCTTTTTTTCATTCGGCAGCAAATGTTTTGCTCTTTTTCTTTTGTTATTCTATTGTTTTATGCTTTAATTTACACAAACCGCCCGCTGCATTTCAGTGATATCTGAAATGATATCCATTTTGTTTGCGTTTTTTTTTAACATCACAATCAACACTTATCACACACGGACAATCGCTTTGTTGGTGATGCGTCCCTTTTTTGACAGAGGGGACTGGCTCTACATTTCGAATTTATTTTTGTTTTAGTGCCTAATATGTGTAATTTTTTTTGTCTAATGGATTACAGCTCAATGAGAGCTTTGTTTGACGCCTTTTTCGGCGCTCTAATTACAAATTTTTAATAATTTTTTCAGGCTTTGAAAAATCGCACCACACGAACGATGTACTGCCGACATATCGGGCATTCACTTAAAACTTTGCCGCAATTAGTGCACGTTGCCATATGACCACACTCCAATAAAACACATTCGATCGCTGCAAAAACAAAAAAATTATTATTATCTTTAATTTTAATCGAAATTTAAGGAAATTCATTGGAATGGATAATGTTCACCTGCATCCATACAAATTTTACACAGATCCACTGTCGCCAACTTGTCGACCGCTGAAAACAAATATTGTGAAATCAAAAACATAAAACATTTACAACAAAAGAACCAAAGTAATTGTTTCGAAGTAATAAATTCCTTGTTGGCTTTCTCGTTGGAAATAAAGCCAAGACATTGAAAACATGTGATCAAAAAGACACGTTTAAAAGTGGAAAATACCTGGGTCCATTGTTCGATCAGTTAAATAATGAAATGTGTCAAAACATACGTCAATGACGTAGGTACAGTGTCACTTTCGAACGTGTCTTTGTTGAACAAATTGCGAATGGAAAAATTACCCGGACAATTTTGTAGATCGTCCCACAGCCGTTGAACCCGTTCGAGAAGTTCGCTTTTTTCGCAGCAACCCTTGAAATCGACACGATTCAACATGAGCACTTCTTTCAATTGTTTCACACTTAAATCTTCTAGTTCCTCTCTGCAAAATACGAAATAAACGATTTTTTTTTTTGGGTGAGAAAATTGAAAAGCGGATGCCAAATACGAAAACCACTTACTTTTTCTCTACTGTATTCAAATTGAAAAATTGTCTTGGTGGATGTGCTGTTGTATTTGTATCATCATTCGAACCATATACATGAATGCCAGCTTCATCATCATAGTCGTCATCGTCAAATTCTTCCAATTCAATGGCGTCGGCTACAAATTGTGATGGACTTTGTACGAGTTCCGTGTTACTTTCATCGTCTTTGCTATCAAACATGGCGCTATGATTTTCCAAAAATTCTAAAAATGCGTCCAACTGTTGTCGAATTTCCGTTTCACTACATGTTGTTGTTGTTTCCAATTGATGTCGAAATCGTGCAATATATTTCTTAAGATCGCCTTTTGTTTTGCCACATTTTCGGCATGATTTCTGGGTGCGTTTGTGTGATGATGCATCTTCGCTGGTGCTTGAAAAATCCTCATCGTCATCATCAACATCGTCCAGAAATCGTCCGGTTCGATTATTTGAATTGCTTGTTGATGCTGTATAAACAATACCATCGGATTGTCGTCGTGTTATTTTCCGATGTGTTTGACGTGATTTCAATGTCTTTTCCAATTTTGTACGCAATTCGGTGGTCGATCGCTGTTGCGTACTGGTTGCGGAATGTTGTTGTTGCGGGAATGTTATGTCTGTCATTTCATCGTGTGGTGTTTGTCTTTGGTTCTCGCTTTCATTCGTATTCGCCTGAGGTAATTCCGTAATTGAATTTGGTAGATTCGTTGTGTATGAAGTGCCACTGCCGCAACCGTTGCTACTACTGTTCGCCGTTTCATTTTTATCATCGGTTATAATAGATGAGGTTGAAGCGGTATCATCGATATTCCACGTTGGATTCACAATTTGCCATTTATCGGTGTCGTTTGGTGCAGACAATGCATTGGCCATATTGGTCGCACCCACCGCACCTAAATCTTCAAACGATGAAATATCCGAACTTTCTAGGGCTGATGCTTCCTCCTTTAGTGCAGCGTCCGATGCATGTTCGGTTGGTTTTGCCGAACTACTTGATGACGACGACGATGACGATGCCGTCGTTAAATGATCTGATTTATTATTATCGGTTGACTGTGATTTTTCATCGGTGACAGTTAGCGCAGTCGGACTCAATGAATCGGCATAACTTTGACGGAATTTCGTAATCAATTCATCATCTGAACATTCACAACCCGAACCGGCATCATTACAACATTCAACTTGTGACAATTTGGCAATTTTTACATAAGTCGGTTTTGTTTTTGTCGACTTTGATGCAGTCGATAACGATGGCTGTGGTGATTTTGAACCATTCGCCGCAGTGGCAGCAGCAGCAGCGGCGGCGGCACCAGCTGCTGTTGTTGTTGCTATTCGAGACAATGAATGATCACTTGACATGGATTTTAACATCGACGGCGGTGTACTGGCACTCGACGAATTGCCCGTTATCGTTGGTGATGATTGTGAATTACTTGTGTGACAATGTTGACCACCGATCACGGTGCTATTGTTATTACTATTGGAAAAAACATTTGACGATTGACGACGACTCGATTGATTTACGCCTGAGGTTTGCATTGTTGTGGGTCTTTGGGGTTTCATATAGCCATTATTCGATGTGGTCGAATTATTACTCATGCTCGAATTTGAATTAAACGAATTTACATTTCGAAAACTATTACTATATCGGGGCTGATCTTCACACACATTTGATCGATCGCTTTGGTTTTGCTTGAAATCAAAATTGAAATCTATAAATGAAAAAGAAAATTGGATACATTATTATGACATTGGACTATAAGGAATAAATTCGAATTAATGGACCACAACTGCAAGGGAAAGATGCAGTTGTGGAATGAAAAAAAAAAATGGAATGAATCGAAACAAACCGGCTGCAATTTTCTCGGTGAATGTTGAAAATAGATTTTGACATGTGTTTCGTATTTGATCGAATGGTGTCGATCGGGCGTCATCACTTTGATCGGTTCCCATTGAAAATGATGTTTGCGACTGTTGTGAATCGGGCGTAAAACTATTCGAATTGTCAACGTGAATCAGTACCAAATTCACTAATTCTTCTTTTTCTGCAAATAAGAAGAAGAAAAAAACAAAAAATCAGTGGTGAAGTGAAAAGGCCATGGTATTTTAATTTCTTACCAACGCATCCTGTTGTTGAAATATGCTTTGATTGTAAATAGAATATCAAGTCTTTTGCTTTTAATTTGAGTAATTCAATTTTTGAAAGTGGACGTGTTGTAAAAATGACACATCTTTTACATAAAATTCGTTCCTTGTTTTTGGTGAGGCAATTGCTGCAGTAGAGTCGTCTGAAACGATGAAAAAAATACAAAATTAATTTTATTCACAACAAACGCAAAGAGAAAAAAAAAAATCGTTGGAATGTGAACAATGTTTACCTGCATTCAGTACATGATTTCTTTCGTTTGAAAACCGTAAATTGTGTGTTACAGGCTTCACAAGGCATTTTCTTAATACGTTTTGATTTAGTTGTTGTTTATTAAATGGTTGTGTTATAATTGCAGAGCCGAAAAAAAAAACTGAAAATCAAAGCGTATCGAGCGGAGCGGCGTCGTATCAACGGGTTCTCTGTATGTGAATTTTGTAAATTCACATGCTTTGGCAATATTGTTGTTGATCTGTCAGCGTTGATGAGTGTTTGGGTTAAATGGGGTCGAATGTCGCTCGATTTATTGCCATCAAATTTGAACTATTGATTTTGTTATATTATCGGTTATGTGGGTGGTGTGTGTATATGTGTTGATTAAACCGTTTCGTCTAACGATTTGATTTCGCTTCAAAGAATTTGAATGCAAACCAATCAATCAGTCAATCGTGTAAAATGCATAACAACCCATGTAACACTCACACTCACACACATCTTCTCGGACTATCTTCCCTTTTTTCGTTCGGTTTTTATTCACTGAATCTTTTTTTTTGGTGGTTGTTGTTGCTCTGTTCGTTATCTATACGCCACACATTCCAGATTGTGATGCATACCACTGACAAGCTTCGAATAGAGAATTTATCTGTTGATCGAAACACACACAGAGAGAGAGAGAGGGATTATTTTTTTAATAAACAGAAATGGGTTTGCAATAATCTTGTTTTATGATGAAATTATCAATTGAATTTCGACGAATTGACTCATAATAAGAATCGGATTATACATTTCTATTACAGAAATGACGCTTAAAATAAAAAATAAAGTCTAGAAAGCACCGAATTGATATCGCACGCCTTTCCAAAAGTTGTTATTTTCGTTCATTTTTCTCGCACATTTTGGACTTTTAGATAAACAAAAATAATCGACACACTTCAAAATCAGTACATTTCCAGTAAAAAGATTACGACTACACTGTGAAGCGCTGCTACCGCTGTTTTTCTCTCTTTACAGTTATTCCGATTTTAAATGATTTTCAATAATTTATTTTTCTGGCCATCGATTTATTTACATTAAACCGTCGATTTTATTCCAATTAAAAAAATCAATTTGCAAATACTTGTTTTCAAGACGATTAACATCTACGCAGTCGATAAAATTAAATCATTTTTTTTGTTCGTTGTGGTTGTTTCAAATATATGGGCGAAAATATTTCTAATTTTGTTTCGTGTTCACTTCAATTTTGACATTTTGGTCATTTCTTTCTAAAAAAACTTACACTTTTCGGATGGCGAACAAAAAATATAAACAACAATTTTTTGATGACGTGACCTTATAATAAAGCGCACTCGTTTGCTTATGCTGCATTAACGCAATTGAATTTCTGAAGTAATTGTTTTTCATATTTTTCTTTTCATCTCCCTTCTCACCCAATCTCTCCCTTTCTCTTCGGTTGTTTTTGTAAACAGTATAATTCCTAGTGCGACACTAATTCTCTTTTTTTTTGTTACGTTTTTATTTGTATATGTGCAAATTGGTGTGTTAAACACATTGATTTTTATGAGTGATAATGAATTCGTTTAATAATATTAGCACAGGCGATTAAGTAAATCGACAATGACGGATGACGACGACGATGACCACCACAATGTTGGCCCAAAGATACACCAATAATAATCATTTACACAATGCGATCATCCTATGCATGTATTTACGTTTGATATGTCCGTCAATAAAAAAAACAACAACGTCGATGACGGCGACAGCGACGACAAGAGAAATACCGTAAATCTAATAAAGTCCATCAATGACAAATGCAAACAAGCTTCGTATTCACTATCACACATTTGCCCATGATAAATCCATTTTATGATATTATTGTTCTTTTTTTCTTTATTTGTTTTTTTCTCTCGATTGGCGTATTTTTTTGCGTGTGACTATGCACAGATTGGTTTTAATTAAATGCACATCTCTCTCTCTCTCTGTGTGTGTATGTGTCAACAGCAGTAACAAATTTTTCTGAATGGCTGATGATCAATTAAAACCGAAGAAAAAGAAAGGTACAAATTAACTGATTTGAATATGTAATCCCGTTTCGTATATATCCTCAACACAAAACAACTGATTTTTTTTTCTATCCACAAACATACACACTCTCTCGATCTGCACTGGTGAGCGTGCGAATCTCGTATTATTGTTGTTGGTTTCTCTTTTTCTTCCACAGCAAAGTGAGCCAACACACTACACCAAAAAAAGAAGAAGAAGAAATTTGCTCAAAAAGGATTGTATAGTTTTTGTAAAATTCTTTTTGGTTGTTGGCTGTAAATCGAAAACTAATATCTGTACACATATGACATTGTGTAATAATTTGGCTGATTTGACGTGTGTGAAAGAGACATCGGCTGTTTTTTTTTGTATTCTTTTCGTATGGTATTGAATGTGAAAGGGAGCATAAGTATGCATAAGTTCAAGTATAGAAATGTCAAATACACCAGTCGTACGAATGGAACGGAAGAAACAATCACAAGTGATGGATACAGAGAGTATATATATATAGAGAGAGAGAGAGTGAGTGAAAGAGACAGACAGTGGTATATAATGGATTTGTGCATGACGAACGAAAGAGAGCACATTGAGGCATACACAAGTAACTACTACTGATGCGGTTATTGTTCTCACACAGAACATTGTCTCTTTTATTTCTTTCTCTCTTTCTCTCGAAATTCACGCATAACTTGCGGTATTTGTTAGAGTTGGGCTTAGCACATGTTTGGGCTTCATCTGACAGAATTTTGAGCTATTGACAAGAACATCAAAAACAAAAAAAAAAAAAAGATTTATGTAGAAAAAAACATATCTATTAGGGTGCTTAAACATACAATTTAATAGAAAAAAATAAGAATAGAAAGAAAAATCAATAAGATTAAAAAAAGAATAAAAAAAGAATAAAAAAAGAATAAAAAAAGAATAAAAAAAGAATTGATTTTCGAACTTTCGCTGATAAATGGTGCAACGTAGTAAAAAGATCCGTGGCTCTTCAAGAATACACTCTGAATTATTTTGACGTTTCAAAAATTGCATTGTAGAGTAGACAGTGCAACAAAGAAATTTCGGACACCGAATAATCACAGCATGCAAGTATTTCAATTTTATTTTATTTTCCAACCAAAAAAATTTTGTACTTTTTTCTTTGTTTGTATTGATTAAATGATGCGTCACACATTATACACACGCAAATCCAAAAATCAATCGCCGATTCTGATTGTCAATTGCACAACTATTTATGGGTCAATAATTTGTGCGAGAAAAAAAAAATTGAATATATATATTTTTTTCGGTTCCATGTTAATATACACGTAGCCGTTGGCGAGCGGTCGTGAGCGATTGGCAAACGCGCGAGCGTTTACCACAACAAAATAACAACACCGAACTGCGAACACCAAACTCCAACAACAAACAAATATTGGTCAATTTGATGTAATGACAAGGTTAAAAGTAAAAGTTAATCGCGAATGAAGAAGAGGAAGAGAAACACGGTTTTTTTTTTCTTCTACATAACAACAAAGAAAACAACAGCAATCAAGACCACAAAAATAGGTTTATTCCTCTCTCTCTCTCTGTCGGTGCCATTAAAAAATATGCACAGCTATGCATATGAACTATCAAAATACTCAATTCAGCAGCAGTTTTGTTTTTGTTTTATTTCAACCGTGCATCGCGCTCACCGCATTCACAAAATCATTAAGTTTCAGTTCAATTTCTTAGGTTATTCTTGTAACACATTTGATACGAATTGGCGGAACAATACACTCAATTTGGTGGTTTCATTTGTGATAAAGACCAAGTCCGACTATTTCAGAATGCATAATCGCTTTAATGGTGCTATATAAATGACATTTCATCGATTTTGAATCACAACTTAATTGTTGCAATTTATGAGTGTTTGACATAAGATGTGATCGCGATTTTTCGTGAATGACATTTGATATTGCATCATTGATACCGCCACTACTATCAATTTCGTGCATCGAATGTGTCAGTGTTTTTTTTTTTGGCCATATCAATTTACCACGCGACGCCGCGCTACAAACACTGTGCATTTTACAATTCAAACAGAAAAAAGAAAACGTTTTAAATTATTATAAATAAATATGAAATCTAATAGTTTTTTATATACAACAGCAATTGTATTGATTGCCCATTTGATAAATTGGTTTATATTGACGCCGGCTACGCTGTCACATTGGTGGCGTACATTTTTGGATTGGCATTGTGTCCGGCAACGAAAACGACAATACAACAGGTACCAGGATCATCACGATCCAAACTTCACCCAAACACCAACCATGTACGAATTTCGACCATTTGAATTAACACAGTGCCAATATAAAAAATATGGCAAATCAAGCATTGGACGCGGCATTAATTGCATACCAAAAGCACGCAGCGGACATCGATGTGTAGCCAACGAAAGTGATCTATTCTCATTTGGAGGTATTTGGACAATAATTTTGTGGTGTTTCATTTTATTTGGAATTTTAACGATTTTCGATTGATTTTGTTTGCAGGTTATAACCCAGACATTGACACAAAACTATTGCCGGAACTATTGAAATTTAACTTTTTAACAAAAAAATGGAGCATAGTATTTTCATCGAATTCAGAAGAAATGCCAAAAGAGTCCGTGTCAAATGCACTCACCTTGAAAGATAATTGTCTTGTGGTAGGTATTTGATCATTTTTAATGGTTTTGGTGATCACTAAATTTCGTAGTAGTATGGCCGTAATCGTTGAAATATTTCATCATTTGCTGCCATTTTTATATCAACTCCAATTACAATATAGGTCTTTTTTTTAATTAGATGTAAAAATTGAACCTTAAATCAGATGTATCTGATTCTCAGATATTTCGGACCTTTTTTTATTTCGTATTAGATTCAAATGTATATAAATTGAATGAAATTTGTACGTCAATATGTTTCCAAAAAGGGTGATGTTATAAAATGAGACATTTATAACAAATTACTATTCAATATTTTCACAGAAAAAATCAAATAATTCACCTTAAATATGAAAATTACACACAACTAGCAGATTTCGACTTCAGCGACCTTCTTTTTTTAGTGAAATAATCTGTTTCTTTAGAATTCTTAACATCCTTGGTGTTTTATTATTAACAAATTATTCATCGCCAAATGACGTCGAGATTCATGGCAAATTTGAGTGTATGTATGGCGTTCAAATACATTTTATTCTTTCGAGAACATGTAAATATCACGTTATGGCATTATAGCGTGAATAACAAAATTTCTTATCGTAGATTTGAATTTCCCTGAAGCCATCTGCAGTTTTAAATGAGATTTAATGTTAATTCTTAATTTTTTTTATTTTTTTTATTCTCCAGATTATCTTTTGTATTTAGTGAGACTTTCCATATCGATTTGTAAACTAAAATCGAAATTAGAAAAAAAAATCATTTACAATATCTCAATATTCCATATTAAATAATAATCAACATTTTCAATGGAAAACTGTTTTTGAAATCGGGAAATATATTTTTTTTCTTCATATATTCAATATATATTTTGATACGAAATTCAATAAAAATGATTTTTTTTTTATTATTTCTTTCAATCGCTAGTTGTATGGAGGAACCGGATTTCCATTTGGTGAAAAGAGATCGAATGAAACCTATTTGATATGGCCGTACGGATTTCGGAAGATCGAAAAATTGCCAACTCGTGGTGACCGACCTGAGGAATTATATGGACAATCAATATTAGTTCGTGGACATTATTTATATGTGCTTGGTAATTCTTACGAAATCTTCTGATTTATTTCAAGCAATATTGATCGTTAATTTTCATTTTAAAAAAAATGTTAGGTGGCACAAGCGGTCACGACTTTACATGTGATATTCATAGGTAATATAGAAAAGAAAAAATCCTATTTTCTCCATTTCAAATCGAAAAATTGAAAATACTAAAATGAACATTTTCTGCAATCACCAACAGACTTAATCTAAATACACGCACGTGGGAATTATTGTATCAATCAAATGAAAATATCCGAGACGATCCAAAAGGTCGATATCGACAGGAAATTGCGTACGATGACGACTATATATACATATTTGGTGGTGGAACGCAAGACACATCATTCGATATGGACCGCATACCGGTGTACAATTTCCATCAAAATCGATTTACTTTTATTCCAACCAAGCCAGATTTGGCGATAAAGGAAAATGGTGGCTATCCGGAAGCACGACGTTTTCATTCGTGTGTTCAGCAGCCGGGCGACAATGGCATTGAGGTGATCATTGCCGGTGGTTCGAAGCAAGATGGACTCTATTTCGATGATATTTGGAAATTTAATTTATCCACACATCAATGGCAGTTATTAACCAAATCAAAATTACCATATGTACTGTATTTTCATGATGCGGCCGCCGTTGGTAATGGTTTAATGTACATCTTTGGCGGTGTAACAACTAATACGCGTGATGTGGTACGGAAAAATGATTTGCATAAAATATGGACACAAATACCAAAGTTGACGGAAATATGCTGGGAGGCGGTCACATTTTATCATCCAAACATAGTCGATCAAAGCAAAGAACAACTACTCAGCGTTGGTATACCAAGAAAATTTGCCGACCGAATCACACACGGCCGGAATTCAGGTGCCATTTTCTAGCGAACGAATTTTTTTTAACGATTTCCAATTTTTAATTCAATTTTCAAACAACACTTGCCCAATTTGCGTCGATGATCGACCGCCAGAGATTATGTAGCATTAATTTGATGCTATTAACACAAAAGTTTAACCAGATGAATTGAATGGTACGACAAGTTTTATAGTTGTACAAAATTTGAATTTCGATTCAATCTCTTCCCTTTTATACTGTTCAAATAATTCAGAAATTGCACACATGAGCACTCCACATAATTTCTGAACTATAATCATGTTCCCATTTTTTATTCATCGCCGATTTTAAACCACCACTTTCTGTTTTTAATTCAGATATTTTATTTTTTCGATTAAGAAATCGAATGATTTGACCCTTTTTCTGAATTTCCAAAAATAAAAACTGACTAATTAGATTTTTAAAATAAACACCGATTTATTTTTATGATATCAATTCATGCTTACAAACAAATTGCAAACAAATTATTATTATTTATAAAAGAAACTGCTAGATCTAAATTATTTTTACATTTAAATGTAAGATTGTACCAGGGAATATAACTTGTGACATAAAATCAAATAAAATGGTATTTAACTTGAATTATAGTTGTGTGTTTATAAAAGTACCATTCCCAACCCCCCGGATTATTTGCATTTTTATGGATGGACCATTGTAGGACACCGCAAATTATACAGTAGTGATCAAAAATTGAGAACAAATGTTTTTTTGCCATTTTCAAGTTCGATCAGTTTGAGCAAACCTTTGCAATAAAGATTTTTCAAAGTAAAATAATTGGAAAATTTAATTCCAAACATTCTTTCTTTTTTGTGCTACGTTTTTATAACTTTTCTGATAAATTTGACTGGTAACCAACATTCAAATCAATTTTCATTTTCTTTCGATTTTTTTAAAGAATTTGATATTTAAGTTTTTTCGAATTAATTTTCATAAAATAAATACCTGAAATGATATTATCTACATGATATTATCGGTGGTGTAAATCGGTGATTATTTTTTTTATTTTTCAAAATTTAAACACAAAAATGTGTTTTTCCTATTTTAAAAAAAATAGTGTTTTGAGCTCAGTATTCAGTACAGTATTCTAAATAGTTCTTATGTGACAGCGAAAAGCGAGACGAAAAGAAATAGCAGAAATCCAAATAATGTTATAAGAAACGGGAAAAAATTGTATACGAAAAACAGCTCTACAGACAATTAAAATGATCGGTATTTTTTTTTTGTTTCGTCAATAAGCGATCAATTTCATTCTAAAAATGAATAACAAATTTTAAAAAAATGGTATAATTGAATATCTTTCCTAATAAATATAAACAAAATTACAATTAGATACTGTATTTATTTTGTGCGATGAATCATGAACAATAATAAACATTGATTAGATAGTGAGTCGAATAAATTAAATAAAACAATTTGAATGTCTTTTTAGATTAAACCACCAGATTGGTGTGAAGAAAAAGAAAATGTTTGAAACGATGAAAAAATTGTATTCTATGTCGTTTGATATAAACGGTAAGAAATCACATTGCATTAGACAGTTTTAGATAACGTATGTTGTATCCGCATTAAATCAGCTGATGGATTGTACCAATACCATGACGTGTGTGTGTGCTTTTGTTTGAATGCTTGTACCACGCATACAAATGCAACTGACATCGTATAGACAAGGTAAACTGGTGAAACGATATTTAAAAGGGTATGCAGCACACACAGACAGCAAAAGCATACAGCACAATTTTTTGAGCGCGCAAACAGTTCCGGGTTCGATTTGACAATCGCGATGTATATAGACTAGAGAAACTATTGGGGGGCTGTTGTATTAGTTCGAACGGCTGTGCTTTGTTGCGCTATCAATACATGCTGAATATAAATGTGTAAGTGCATGTCAAATGCGGCAATGAAATGTAAGCCCATCCATTCTGGATTGTTTTACATGTTGTTGTTGCTGGTTTTTTTTTTTTGCTCTACTTGAAACAATTTATATCTTTCTTACTTGTTCTCTCTGTCTCACTTTGTGTCGGTCGTCTTTTTTGCAATCGTTTGCCCAGCGAATGGGTGCTGTTGCATGTGCGCCGATACAAAAAACCGAACGAAAGATAGAGAAGGAGAGAGTGAACGAGCGAGCCTTGCACAATGTGTCAAATACATAGAACCTCAAGTCAATATCTATTTCGTTTACATGTCCATCCGAACATAGCCGAAAAAAGTGGGAGAGAGGGAGAGAGAGTGTGTGTGCGAGAGAGAAAGAAAAGGAGTGCGGAGCGCCAAAACGGGATAGGGGAGAAAAAGACGGTGTAGACGAGAGAAAAAGTAGAGGAAGACATTGGCAAACAGCATACAAACATATTGTAAAAACAAAACTTGAGCGCTCAATGTGTCAGAAGAATCGGCACGACGCAAAAAAGAGAGAAATAAAAACATACAACCGACAAAACACACAATACACGAAAGAAATGTCAGGAGCATTTATAAATTTTGTGATGCGAGAAAGAAATGTGCTTGTTGTAAATGTGTAGCGTTGTTGCTGTTTAACCAAATGTGACGACGACGACAACGACGGAAACGACGACGACGACGACAACAACGGTGTATGAGAGACAGAGAGAATGTGTGTGTTTGTGTTCTATTAGAGGTTTGTCAGTTTGCCCAATAAGAGTGTTACATGAAAAATCGTACCTCATTTTCTTGTCAAAATCAGTTGAAAGTGGACGTGCGTTGAAGAGTTGAAATCAAACCCGAACTACTCACAACATCAATTCGTTCTTCTCTCATTCAATCAGCACATATCATCACACAATAGTGCGAAGTTTTTAATTTGTTTCAAACAATTTGTTCTTGTTGCTAGACAACATTTCGATACGTTTGCGTTCGATTCGATTATTATTATTTTATTTTTAAATTCTATTCAGCACCATAGTGCATAAAGAATAGCAAAGAAAATTCGCAGTAGCCGATTGAAGAATCATCGTAAAAAAAATTGTGCGAAATTCAAGTTGAATTTTAAATGTTGTTGGTTTTTTGGTGCCGGAAATCAGTAAAAGCAGAAAACGAAGAGTTGTCACCATAACTTTATACCGATAATTGATATATCACCGTGAAACGAACGGCCGCTGAAGAGTTTTTCAACAAAGTCGCTTCTTTTTTCGACCAGCAAAACAATTGTCACATCAATCAAAATTTAAGAAAGAATAGAGAGCGCGCGCTTGCACACCGTGACAATGTTCTCAAATAATAAAGTCATTTGATAATTTGCTTTTAAGCGCATTTCAACTGCACATACATCATATTCTTTTCGTTAAGATTTTCCTTCGTGTTCGTTTCACTCCCCCCGTTTCTTTGGTTTTCTCACATTTGTTTGGTTTGACGAAGTCGTAAATTAAAAATCGAGAGAGAGAGAGAAAGAGAGAGAGAGAGTGAAAGAGAAAAAAGTGTTCGTATAAAAAAAACGTAAAGTTCCTGCATTTGTTATAATTAGTTAAATTACGAGGCATACGCGCGCGTGTATTATTATTATTATTATTATATTTAATTTTGTTGTTGATGTTGTTCGGATAAGTTGTTGGTGCGTGTGTACAAACAAGTGCAAGTGCGATATAAGAGAAAACAAAAAATATACCTCCCAAATACAGATATAGAGATTCTGGTAGCGTAGACGCCACTGGTCCTTATCAGCAACGATATATATTTAGAAAGAGAGAGAGAGTAAGAGGAAGATATCCGGAGGAAGACAACGAAACAAACCTTCTAAATTTTCTCAGAAAAAACCCAATTGTATCTACACTTAACAAATACACAAAACTCATCAACAATGGATATACATAAGAGTGAAAAACGTGTCTATAGATTAGTTTTAACCGGTGGTAAGTAGTCATATTTGGTTCTTATTCCTTATCTTATGATGCATCTCTCATAATATACACACAATTTGTTTTATGGTCGTCGCATCTTTTCATTGTTATCGGTTCAGAAGTTCAATGCTTTTTTAAATAGATCAGAAGTGTGTGTGTGTTTGTGTGTGTAACTAAGAGGCGTTCAAACCGATTGACAATTTGGAAAATATAAAATTAAAGGCAAGACAAAGAGAGAGAGAGGGAAAGAAAAAGGGATCGAAATAAAATGTATGTCGAAAGGAAATCAATTGACGTCTCGATGCGTCATTTGGTGTATGAAAATACCACGCGGTTTTTGCTATGAATCATTCACTCATATTGTTCTGCTCTTCATCTTTACGATGTGGAAAATATCTCTCTGTCTTTCCGTTGTCATTGCCACTCTCGTTCTCTTTCGCTATCCGTCATACTATTACATACATCATACACAATTTATGTCAAATGCGAACAACAGCCAGCCCGACATGCATACACATAGATTTCAATACACGCAATATGCTTCTCTTTTCCTAGAAAGAAGAGAAGAAAAAAAAAACGAGCGTAAAATGAACTGTAAACCTTGTCATCATCACAACATACACACACAAGCGCGCAAACGCGCGCTGACAGCCATGTGCTTTTCGAATACAAATTCAACTATGCTTTGCTGTGTGCTTCGCCGTTTTACTTTTCCTTTTCGTTTTCGCTTTTTGTTGTTAGTTTTTTTCCTTTCTTTTTTTGTTCGTTAGAAAATCCACATGTCGATGCGGAATCTATTTTCGTATAATGATGCGAATAACAAAATTAAACTTTCCCAGATTTTTTCTTAGTCTGGAACCAAAGAGAAATACACACAACAAGGTGGGATTGTTTTTTAGAAACCGGCAGCCAAATTCGTAACAATCAATCGATTTCGAATCTATTTTTGAAGCATAGGCTCTAGTTTTTGTCGAATGGGACCCGACATTGATTTCATTCAGTTTTTCGTCGAAAAGTTCTTTCGTTATCGTTACTCTCCGTCTTCGATTCTGAGCCATGAAAATTGCCGCAACGCTAAATGCATTTTAATATATATATGATCAAACGATTTGAATCGATGGGACGATCATTTCTTTTTTTAAAAAACATATCTGTTATTGAAACCGTTTGAAGTGCAATCGATGCACATTAAGCGCATACATACAGCAAGAGAGATGACGGATAGAGAGGCTTGCACATATGTGAAATGCTTTTAGAAGAGCGAACGAACATTACGAGAAACCGAATCGACAACGATTTTACATTGAATCATTTTATCGGTTGTTGTTGCTTTTTTTCTCGCAACAATAAGATATTGTGCGAAATGCAATGACTGTATTTTGTCTATTCTTGTTTAGTCTTCTCATTGTTTTTTGTTTATAATGGATTTTAATGTCTCACGTGATCTTTTGTTCCTCTCCCTCCCTCTCTCTCTATTTCTGTTGCCTTTAGAAATTTCTAATGAATTGCACGAAGCAGTGAATGCAATCAAATTGCATTCATTTGTATCGGATCATTTTCGAAATACGATACCATAAAAATGTTCGCTTGCATTTTGTCTCTATCCATTGATTATTCGTATTTTTAAATATAGGTCCATGTGGTGGTAAAACAACTGGCCAGTCCCGGATGTGTACATTCTTCGAGAATCTTGGTTGGAAGGTGAGCATCATTTAACTGTACCAAATCAATGAACTTTATAGTTTAAGATGAAATTCTTTTTTTTTTTTTTGAAAAATTAGTGTTTTGTTCGAAATAAATTAAATTAGCGTGTAATTGATAGTTAAATTAGCCTACATTTAAATGAGGATTCAGTTTTGTTACCTTTCAATTTTGTTCGCTATACGTGTTTTTTATTATTATTATTGTTTTGTGTTCGATTAAACACACGGAATTGTTTAGATGAGTCATTCTGTATATGATGAGTGAAAAATACAAACAGCCAAGAAATGACGAAATCAATTTGCTTTCATAGCTGCTGCTGCTGCTGCTTGCAACTGACTGACATTTTGACCGATTATTATGATATTCATTGAATTCGTATATATATATAATTATTTATTTTATGCGCAATATCATGTGCACACTGTACGATATGAACCATTTGTCATTTCTTGGGCTCGACGATATAATCACAATTCATTACAAAATTTCTGTTTGTTGATCCAAAAGGCAAGGACAAAAATTTATACTCTCAATCCCCAATCAATGACAATGCAAAACCGAATGTACAACGCAAACAAGTGTGCGCCACAAGCATACACAATTTACGTGTTTATATGCAATTTAAATACTCATTTGATATGAATCAGATTTTAAAATATATCGAAATTCTAATTAAAATCCCAACCGTAACATTCAGTATTAAGTATTACTAAATTATTGGGATTTTTTTTATTTATTTAGATGAATCTAGATCGTGTTACACTTTTTTTTCCTCTTTTCATGATTACCGATATAGATTTTCATACATTTCGTTTAGATTTTTCAATTTTATAGATGAAACAAAAATGCATTCGTTTATCTAAAGAGCAGAGTTCATGTCATATAATTCTTGCCTTGCCTTTTGAAATCTCGCGCGCGCACGCATACTCAATTCAGACGTTTCTGTAAGAGATGTGCTTTATTTTGTTTACGAAGAGCTTTTTTTAAGCGTAAAAGAAAAGTGTTTTTTTAAGCGTAAAAGGAGAGGTTTTTTTTTTAATTTCGTAAAATGCAAACCGAGCGTCAGGCAATTTGTCCATTAAAACAAAATTTTCAAAATAAATGCAAAAACAACAAAAACCATTCACAAAAAAAAAAAATACAAAAAAAAAAAAAAAACAAACCAAAACCGACAATTAGAATCTTGGCTTATGTTAATTTTTGCAGGTGTTCCGAGTGCCTGAAACGGCCACTGTGTTGCTCAGGTAAATGATGAATGACACTCTCGTAGGCATTTTATTATTTTCCATTTGCAAAATTTTCTCCACCAACCAAATTTAGAACCAATAAAACATTTACAATTTTATTGCAAAAATCGTACGAACGGAAATCCAAAGCGAAACAAATCGAAAATCTTACACATTTTTATATTAATCATAACGGAATCAAAGCGGAATCCATTTTCATTTTTTTTTATCATCGTAAACGTTGATTCGATTTGAATGCAAACAAATTGCACACGATTTACTTTTTCAAGCATTCCATTAATCGTATGTGTGTTCCTTAGTGAGTTTGTTTCATTTTTTTTTCTTCGCCTAGGTGAAACTTCTTTCCATACATTGATTTTTGAATAGGATAGATCCGTAAGATCTTCGCAAGAGCTGGATCTAAGCGTGATACATGCAATTCATTTTACGGTGTTGTTTCGACACGCAAATCAGGCGAACTAAGAAGAATGATTCTGCGTGTGTATGTAACCATGCTCTAGCTCTTGCGGAGATCTTACGGATCTATCTTATCTAAAAATCAATGTATGCTTTTTTCTTTTCCTAGTCATTTTTATTCCTTTCATTTTCTTCTTCTCGTTCACTTTGAATGAAAATCAACATATTAATCTTGTTCGTTTGAATGCAATTTTAAAGTTTTTTTATTGCTTTTTATTCACTCATTTTATGAGAAAACAATTGCTGATTGTACGTTTTTATATGCTTGCCAATGCTTGAAAATGAAAGTGTCGGAAAATTACGACAAATTTCACGTCGACCGCTGAATTACCGGTGAAATAATGGAATTGGTGTGATTTTCGTAAAGCGAAGAATTGATTTTCAAAATAATCGAATCGAATTGGAGAAAAAACCTCAAACGAATGTTTCGAAAACAACACCAGATTCGAAGTCATTTGCTTCAGCCAAAAAGTGCTTTCTTTTCTAATTTTTTCCCGAATTGAAGGAGAACCAGTTGATTCAAATCGATTTTCACCGCAAAATATTCAATGAAAGTGTGATTGTTTTAAAGTTTCGCACAACCTCAAATACATTTCACACAGAGAGGGAGAGACACATAGATAACCATTTCAACAATTTTGAATAATAATTTTTTTGATCAAATTTAACCGCATCGAATTAAATGTAAAGTGCAACGAGAGATAAAATGTCATGCAAATGACACATACACACATACATACATCAAACCAAGAGAAACCAAGACTACGAAACAACAACAACAACCACAAACAAACAAAACAAAAAATTAACAAAAATCATAATGTTTCAAAGACGATTGTATTCATCCGAAAAATTGTTTGGTTTTTTCTTGTTTTTTATTTACAGTGGCGGCATCAAATTCTCGGACCTGACGGAGACTGAAGGTAAGTGTGCCATTTATCCACAAATCATTCTATGTGCGTGTTTGTGTTGTGATATGAATTCGTTCATCATAGTCGCGGAACGAAAGTTTGTATTTGGAAATATTTGCAGCGCAAGTGTTTCTCCAGACGATGATCGAATTTATTTTAAGTTGTGTAACCTGCAATATCTTTTTCTAAAGTTGGAATTAACTTGTATGAAAAAAAAACTTGACGTTTTTTTGGATGGGAAATGTGTTTTTTGTTATTGATGTGAAATTGAATATTTTCTGAAGAAAAGCACATGAATTCACACACAAAAAAAAACTATATGAAGTTGAGAATATTTCATTGATATACAACCTTGGCGATACGAATTGCGAGAAAATGTGTTTTGTTTGCGAAAACAGAACCAATAATTGCAATTTCGCATTCTTCGTTGTTATTTGAAGGAATTTCGTAAAATATATTATTTCTACGAACTTTTGTAATTCTATCCTTGTGTCTTGTGTGGTTTTTTTCCTGTTTCGTTGTTTTTTTCTGATTAATGGCATAAGATACATTCAGATACATTAGCAACGAATCAACTTACGTGGTGGTTTTCCATTTGAGAAAATTCATATTCGACAATTTCGGGCTGACAGAGGAAAACCAACAATGAACACGCTGAAAATTAATCAAATTACATTACAAGCGATAAACAAATGTGCGCTGCACTCGTACGCTTCAATTTCTGGCTACCTCAGCGAAATAAGCACGCTACACACGCTTTACCATTATGTGACTTGTTTGGTGTCTGCTTTTTTTATTTCAACGGGGTAGCAAAGACACAACAAATATGAAGAAGTAATAATGCACAAAAAATAGAATAGAACTTAATTGAGATTAAATTAAAAGAAAAACAATAAGTTTAATTCGGTGCAAACACGTAACCGTCGAATAAATAAACAATTTTTGTTTATGTATTGTGCCGCCGTCAATTGAATGGCGCACAATTTAAACAACATCGAACGAAAGCGAGAGAAGAAAATGAATGTATACGTCACTCAAATCAACAAGGGACAAGCGCCATCGAGTTGGAACCAATTGTTTACATTGCCAACGATTGCATGTAAATCATATGAAAACTGTATGATTTTTGCCTGACACAAATTTTATACGTTCGCACACAGCTTACAATTTTGTTTGCATTTTTTTGTCTCTCTCCCTCTCTCCCGCTCGTTTTTTCCGCTCTCGAAAAAAGTCATTATCATTTTCGAGCAAAAACTTTCGCAAAGTGGTTGGCGGACCCTTTTCGATCGTCAAAAATAACTTTATTCGAATTCAATGTCAAATGCGAATGATCTCTCTCGCACACGGTGTTGGTAGTTATGTAAAAAAGATATGAGCTTTTGTTTGTTTGATTTACTTGCTAATTTATAACATTTAGTTCGTTTTCGATATCATCACACACGTTTTGTTTGATTTTTTTGCTGTCATTCAACGTCTGATTTTTCACATGTTTGCTCGTGCACACAATATTCGATAGGGTTTCGTTTCGGCGAACGGCGACCACACGCTTGCTGACCATATTAATAAAACATTCAACAGACGTTGGCGGCAATTAGCGACACACAAAAAAAAAAGAAATTCTCTTTTTTTTCTAGTTGGTGTTGTCGTCTTCTTCTCTCCTTCGTCAGCGAACGATAATTTAATTAGTCTCACAAACTGTACACAGAGGACTTAATAAATGTTTTGAGCGTATTTTTTATAGCGTTTGCGTTTCCGCATTGCGCGCAATACGATTTACATTGTATTGGTCGTGGATTGAATTGCGAGAAACAAGGGGCTACTACTACTTGTAACTACATGACAGAAAGGGATTCGAGCCTTGAAGCTTTGAGCGTCACAAAACAAAATATTGATATACCTTGGGTCCATGGCCAAATTCGGTGACTTTTCATGGTTTTATAATATCTCCAAAAATGTCAATTTCTTCAACCAAAATCAATTTTAATCAAAGCGCCATCAGAAAAACTATTTATTTTGGACTTTCTTGTACCAAATTAAAATGTATTGTTTTCCCCGTGGTCATAAACGATTGCGCGCATTTGTGTATATGAGCTTTTTTTACATGGCGGTAATCCAGGCGGTTGGCAGACAAAAGACCCACATATCGAATGCAAGTTTACGAGAAGCCCGTTAAGATTCACAATCATGCAAAATGGTGTTTTTAGGAGGATTAAAAAACAGAACAAACATTGTTTCTATTGAAAACCAGTCAAAAACACACATATCCAATTTCAACGGCATTTTCAATATGACATTTAAACGACTGGAAAATGGACATTTTGTTTCGAATACACACTTATTGGAAAACGTGCTCTTTTCGATTCCCAATCGACTTATGCTCGTATTAATACCCCACCCCCTCCAAAAAAAACCAATAAATTTACTAAACATTTTAGAATCGATACTCAAACAACACGAGCATTTCAACACTAATCAAGAGTCTATTTGTTTACTGAAACGTTACACCATTATTGTCATTAATTTAATAACTTAGACTTATAAAAATGACATCATAAGTATACGTGCTATTGTCTTGTCACTCTAATCTAGATTGAAGCTTCATTTGATAATTGTCCATTAGAGATGAAGAGAGGGAGACAGAATGAAGTGAAAAAAAAACAAAATGAAAAAAACGAAAGAATACTCACGTTTCGTGACTGACGGAAAACAATAGTCAAGTCATTGCATGTACACAAATTACCGCATTCTTTCTCTTTTCACACAAAACTGCCCGGTAATATTATTATCGCTCTTGTTCAGATAGTGCAAGACAAAATGCGGCTAGTCTATTTTATTATATGTCGAGGTGTGATTCGATAAAGAAAGAGAGGAAAATGAACAACAAAAAGATAAAATCCAGTCAAATGGCAGACATTCAAAAAAGATAATGTCAATTTGCGATATGTCGGTAATTAGAAAAGTATCGTTTATTGTGGTGCGAGAGTTCTCACTGATTTTTTTTTAAATTGACAATATGCCAAAGTACTGTTTGTTAACAATTTGAAAATTTCAATTTTTCCGTCGAAAAAGCGGAAAATTCCAATCTTTTATTACCAAAATGATTGTATCATTGGTCAATCGTTTGATACTGAACTATTGCTAACCATTTATCACTAACCAGGCTTTGTTTATTTTCCTAATACTAAATCCTTAGCAGCCAAAGCTTCCTCTTCCATTTTTTTTACCTTTATATTTTCCATTTTGTTCATTTTGTTTTTCGAAAGCCATTAAAATGAACGTGAAAATTAAAATTTATCTTTATTTTGCAAAACACATTATTCGCTCGTAAAAAGCTGTTAATTTTGCTTTATCGGATGATGGTTCCGAGTTCTATTTCTCTCTCTCTCTCTCTGTGTGTGTTGCTGATGTGTTTCTTTTTATTGAGTTATGTTTGGTTTTTTAGTTCGTCTTCATTTTCGGTTTTCTTTCTCTCTCTCTCTTTTTATTTCTTTTCTCTTCCTTGTTTTTTCTTTTATTATAGCGGCTGACAAAGCTAAATTCAATCAATCAAACCATCATGAAAATCGAAGTAGTAAACAGCCATCGATACGTTTCAAAAACGGTATAGCGATGCATAGTGATGTTGATTTAAGTGCATCATGTCCGCGGTGTTTAGCAGCTGCTGCTGAAAAACCGGGTAGTGATGGTGAGTTTGAATTCCCGCTCTCCCACACTTCGTATAGTTGGCACCAAAACCCAAACACACTATCACACAAATTTTCGATATAAAAAAGAAAGACATGATCGGATTCATAATCCAAACAAAAAACGATGTGAAAATTCACATGAAATGCGATTTTTTTACACTTGTTGATATTTAATTCTGTGTGTGTGTTGTGAACAATCTTTAGTTTGTGTCATGATATTTGTTTTAATGGAATTGTGTAATCAAAGTCCAGACGATCATCTTAATTATTCGGTCGGTTTTAAAAATATGATGATGTCACCCACAAATGTAAAGTCATCGAACGCAAATGTATATGCATGTAGTGAGTTGGTTCAATGGCACCAAACAGGAACACATTTGTAGCCCGACCTAGAATTTTCTGACCATTCACGTAATTTATGCGTTTTCTTACGTGATAATGACTAGCGCGTGTTTGGAAATCAAACAACAGCGACAATCGCAATGAACGAAGGAAAGAGAGAAAACTAAGCAATCGAACTAAATTCAATAATGATTTTAATTTCAAATAAACAAAATTATGAGATAGTACAAATAATCCGTTTTTTTGATTCTGCCGAATTGTTATGTCTCGACAAAATAATTGTTTACGTATACATTTAACGTAATTACAAACTATATGTAATTTTTTTTTCATATTAAATTGATGAATTATATTTACGCATAAGTCAATAAATGTTTAGAGGCATAATCGAATACACAAAGAGAGAGAGAGAGAGAGAGAGAGAGAGAGAGAGAGAGAGAGAGAGA